AAAATAAAAATTGGTCATAAATTTAAAAGTTGCGATAACTTTTTTTTTGGTCCAATACTTTTGACCGGGGAGTGTACGTACAAAAGGCAGCTTCATAGACAAAAAAAAATTTTTTTGTTAAATTATTTACGTTACACCTGATCTTAAATTTTGATTGGATAAAATTGAATAAGATGCGTTACAATTAGATTCATCAATTCTTTTTTTAAATAATTTATTTCGATTATTTGTTGACAATGTGAAGTTGAGAGTGAGGTAAGATAAGAAAATCGGCATCACATATTTTCGTTATTGCGCGCCAAATACGATGCCTTAAGCTACATCTAAAAGTGCACACGAATTTTTCCGCGTTCAGATGCATTTAATTTGTTATTGAATATATAAAAATAAAAAAAAATAAAAAATAAATAAAAGAAAAAGAAAAAGAAAAAATGCCAAACTAATCGAAAGTCGCCTTATATATTCGTGTGAATACGGAACTCTTTATTAATAGAGTATATGCGTAAACCTTATTATTATATGTGCATTAACAAGGACTCCTTCAATGCCATTACACGGAGTTTTCAAATGCAAACACACTTCTATGGAGGAAAATTTCGTCACAAAATAATGAGTCCGCTAAACAGCACGGATCATGCACATAGGTTAAATTGGTTTTGAAAAATAAGTAATATAGTTTATTATTTCGGTTTATAAATAAATATAAAATACTCAAATAAATATAAAGTACTTAAGAGTTACCTTTACTAATTTTAAAAATAATTTCGAACTTCGAACCTTAATTAATAAAAACATTTACCAGAAATCAAATATTCTCGAAAATTATAGTGAAATGATGAATTTGTTAGTGGATAGTTTCGGTGATACACCCATAAATAAATATTAGAATGTTTACATTTAGTCAATACCTGGAGAAGGAAAATTTTTTATGTCCTTGCCTTTACACGTTAACCTGGTTTTATAGCCCAATGAGCAGTGGAATTCTAATTTAAAAAAATAATAAAAAAAAGGGTCATTTTAGTAAATAAAAAAAATAATCGGGTTATAGAAAATAATAGGCCAAGTATTTTAGTCAATGGCGCAGCTAAAAACAATCGATTTCCCTTCACGAAATTTCACGTGATATATTTTGTCACCGGGCTCCGCGTTTCATTTTACTTAGTATTATGGGGACTTGGAATTTTTCAGTAATTAAAAATCTATTTGTAACCTCCTAATGTGCGCCACAATTAATTCCAGCAAATGACGTGATGCCGGCCATTTCGTGACATGGGTACGCAGGGGAAGTCAAAACAATAGAAAATTTTGCCAACTACAGTATTATTATTATCATATTGGTGAATAGCTTATCATTAGAAAACATTAAATATTAGGTGAGATTATGAGTCAAAAATCAAACTCATTTTAGTAAAAGTCGAAACTGGATTTCGACGGATTTCGATGTCGATGACTGTCCAAACCTCATGGTGTTGCCGGAAACCTTCTTTTAAGCAACGTATCTTGAATCAAAAATATATCATCATTTTTCTCGTTGAATATTAAAAGGCTAGATTTAATGATTATAAAACCATAATATCAAAGCTCTAATAAGGATTTTTTTTTTCGAGGATATTTTTTCATCCCTATGGAACCTATAGAAGCTGTAGAAGAATTAATAAAAAGAACTTCAAATCCTTTTAAATGTTAAAAGTTGTTGAAGATATACAAAAGAAATACAACCTGCGACCTTTGAAAGTTATCAGAAAATCGTCGAGTATGAGACTAATTCCGTAATTTAGCAAATAATTTAATCATTGAAGGACTGGTAATTTTTCAGGAATCTGGAAATTCAAAAGAATAGATTTTATACGGGATGTGTTGAAATCATCTCACATAAAGAAATGTTATTTGGTAATATCATGGTCATGTTAACAGAAGAAGAAATTAATTTACGTTACAAAAATCTCGTTTTATGATTTCATCCCGATAAGACGGGTCAACCTAATGCCCTTCAAGGTGAGCATTAGAAATTAGGTGATAGACTATTTAGATTTGGTCTAAACTAAAAGAGGTTTTATTGGCTGAATTGGAGAAAACGATTGTAAAAAATCTGTAAACCTTCATTGGAAAAATTACGATTGATTACCGTAATGCAATTAAAGGACAATTTGATAACCTAAAATTATTAAAAAAGTTGATATCAAGGAAATAACTTCTGAAGAAATAAAGCCGTCATAGCGTGAATAATGGATTATTAGCTTATGAGAAATACCGAGCAGCTTGCAAAATTGTTGACAACTAAAAGACCAATTAAGATTACGAGGAAATATGACATTATACTTATATGTATCCAACAGATTTTTAAAAGCTCAGTTATTTTGCTTTGTCGGCAATTAAGTTATAATTAAAGAATTCTAATCGGGGTCATGCGTGTACTGAAGGAGGCAAAAAAAATATTTGATAAAGTTAGAGGTAGGAATGCAACGGAAGAAATCAATAAGCAAGCAGATCGAGAGATTTCCTTTTTCGAAAAAAGTCTCAACAACGGTCGATAAACTAAACATTAGTACAGATTTAATGCTCAATGCAAATCACAAATTGGTTCGCTATCAAATACCAGAAGAAGAGAATTTACGAGTCCAAAATCAATTAGCTGATAAAGCAACTGGGACGGTTGGAGTGGGTGAAGTATAAAAAAACTTTATGAGGAGGTTAAAAATCTAGATGACCGCATTCGTGAAATAAAAAATAACAATATTATAAAATTTTTATAATAAAGTCCCCGATTTAATTTTTCTTAGAACAAAGTATAGCCATATAGCTAAAAACTTTTTTTTTTTTATTAATAATGGCGTTAATACGTTCATAAATACTATTATACGAAATTTTACAAGTGCTAATCTGTCAACGTCGTCTTTGTCTGGTAATTTGCTCAACCCATACCTCAGGATGTTATTCCCCGGCTGTATCTGATTCTTACAATACAAGGACGCGTCCACTAACCGAATATGTTTCAATGTGAACAAAACAATCCATCACTACGTTAAATTTCGGTGTAATGATTTCATTCTTTGATTAATTCTAATCCATAAGATATATACACAGAGGTAAATGACCTGAGACGAATAGACAATCATACACGCAAGCTAAATTGGTTTGAAAAATAAGCAATGTCGTTTTTTGATTTTAGATTTATAATATATTTTTTATTTAAATAAATCAAGTATTTAAAATAATTTCGCCTAATTACCATTATTAAAAATAATTTTAGATTACGATTTATTTCGTCCTATTAATAAAGCAATTGCACCTACTGTCGTTGTATTCCATCCATTTGGCCAATATAAACACGCATTAAGATTAGGTGAGCCATCTGGCTTTTGCAATGTAGAAGCTTGGTTTGCAAAGCTCGGGCCTTTTTACATGATGTTATTGACAAAAGCAATATGTTTACCTTCTTGAAGCATCCTAGTACATGTATTGGCACTGACTGTTCAAAAAGGGAACTGATATTAAATTGAGACGTAAATCGTTTTACACTATTCCGCCAAAATCACTCAAACTTGGGTGGGCATAACATTTCGAAGTTCATCAAGCTATCTCACTATTTCAAGAATAACATTGTCAAGAATATGGCTCTTTGTATTCAACCACTGGTGAATGTGTTTTTTTGGGATGTGACAGCATGAAAGAAAGATTTCTAAGGTATTCGATATTATTAGCAAATATGACACGGTGTATACAAGAATAAAAAACAAGTCGAAAACATACATGGCATATATAATATTTTCAAGTACTGTACATAAGTTTCTCATTATAGTTATTATTTGGGATTGTGTTAATGACTATCAATACAAGACCCTTCACTATAAAGACAAATAGCAACTCTCTTTCACCGCGACAAAGTAGGTTATTTTGGTATAATTAATACACACTGAGAAAATAAATAAATATTTATTTCTCTTTAAAGAAGAAAATCTATTTTAATTCCAGTCAGTTTTACAAAACGTAACTCTGGCTGGCATCATATCAAAAAGGCAAGATTTACGACCGGACCTTTTCATGTATCGAATAGAGAAAAGTAAAGGACAAAAGTTGCATTTAATAGATTGCACAATATTTATTTCAAAGTCATTGGTACTAAGCAATTTTATAAGGATTTTATATTACCAGATGTTCAAATGTCAAAGTCTCCGTTATGACAACTCGGAGATTGTAATACAATCTTTCCCGATTTGGAATGGTACACAAAAAGGTGAAAAAAAACAATCTTATAACCGAAAATGCATTGTTATTGATTAAAATTCATCTTTTCCTACTTTTCAATTCTGTTTCGAAAAATATAATGTCATACAATTTATGGTCGGACCTCTCAAAAGACCTATCCTCATTAATTGATAATGATGATGATGATTATGATTATAATGTCATCATTAAGGTCGGAGAGGAGGAATTTCGCGCGCATTCCAATATTTTGCGTTGTAGGTCTAATTATTTTCGTCATGCGATATCAAAGAAATGGTGGTCAAAGAATGAAAACAAAATAATTGTATTATCGATGCCAAATATGAAACCAGAAGTTTTTAATGCTGTTCTCAAGTGAGTATATTCATTTATTCCTTTATATAAAAAAAAAAAAAAA